GCCGAGTTACTTTCAACTCGGGAGTGGGGGGCAAATGATGAGGGCGGATTTGGCCCTCCAATGATATTGTGACACATGGCACCTCGGAACAACTAGGTGACACCCGGAACCACTTAGGCAACAACTTGCCTTAGCCAAGTTGATGGTGTCCCACCTGGCGGCCTGGCACAGGCGTTGACCTGGCAGCCTGGCCCAGGCGCTGACCTGGCGGCCTGGCCCAGGTGCCAAACTGGCGACCTGGCGGCTTGGCCCAGGCGCGACATGGCGGCTTGCCCTAGGCACGAACTGGTGGCCTGGCACAGGCGCCGACCTGGTGACCTACGAGACGTGCTCGCTGACAAATTCGGCATGCATATCCTAACACTCCCACGATCCTTGGAAGTTGGCAGACGTGCTGAACGATCCAGAGGGTGGTCAACGTGCATGGCGGTTGCCTCCGGGAATCTCGGACCACTTAGGTGACTTCTCAGAAATCTCGGATATGGTGCATGAAGCCCAACATTGATTCCTTGCAGTCTATTATGAGAGTACTGACTTAAGCATCGGAGCGACCTCGCTGGGTTAGCCACCCCGGGTCCTATGACATTGATTCCTTGCAGGTCTCTAAAGAACTACGAAGCTCAACAATCAATCTAGCTCGCCACCAGGCAGCTCGAYCCTCTGGTCAGCTCGGCACCTAATAGGCAACTCGGCACTCTGGACAGCTCGTCACCTAACCTGCCTAGCTCGGCCCAGTTAGTTTGGCACCTAACCTGCCCAGCTCGGCTCAGTTAACTCGGCACCAAATCTGCCCCCAGCTTGGCCTGGTCAGCTCGACATCYAGGTCCTCATCCAGCAAAAGTCCACTTCGGTCTCTAAGTCATCGGCCACTTGGAAGTAGACCAAATGACGAGGTACTTAGCACAAAAAATTGATACATCACCAAAAATTGATTCATCACTCTCCATGTGCAATTGCTAGAATTTTCAACATATTCAATTGCTAGAATTTTTTATTTTCAACCTATTCAATTACTAGAATGTTTGTACAATATGATCACTAGATGTTCATCATTCATCTATCTATCTATCTTCCCTACTTAGAGAGAGAGAGAGAGAGAGAATCATTAACTTTCTCTTCCCTTTCTCATTAACTCCTCCAATTATCTCTCTTCATTAATCGTGTCATTAAATCTCTTCTAGTAACTTATGCCACTAATTCTCTCTCCTCTCAATTACACCATTAAATTGTCTAAAATTCATTAACTTTATTTGTATCTATATCTATTTCAATTTAATTATAAGATTATATCCATTATATATATTTACATTTAATTATATTTATTAATAAAAATTAAATGCAATCAATATAAAATTTAAAATATGTTTAAATTAATTAAATTAAACTAACTTTATATAAATATTATGTACTTCATAATAAAAATTAAGTTCTATTTAATTGAAGTTTATGCCCACTTAATTCAATGATAGATTGTTATAGGCTAATTAATTATCTACCGTTTAAAAAATAATTATTACTATGTTAATTAATCAAGTAGATTTTATTTAAAAATAAATATTATTTACTATGATCAACAATGAAATTAATAATATTTGAAATGTTAAATTACATTCAATTACATTTATAACTCATTTAAATTCCATTTTAAACTTAAAAGTGTAATTTAAAACCCATTTGATATACTTACATTTAATCATAATTATTAAAAATTTCCAAAGATGATATAATTATTAAGAAAAATTAATTATAAATAACAAAAAGTATTAATAAAAAATTATCCCACTTTATAATTATTCAATAAGAAAACTTAAAATTAATTAGTGTAAATAAAATATCATAAAAACATAATCTATTTACATTCCATTTGGAAAAATAAAATTCAATAAAAAATAAAAAATATTCATTAATTGATATTATTGATAAAAATCTTTTATGAATAGAAAAAATAATTAATCAATAAAAAGTAATAAAATTTATAAAAATAATTTTTACTAATTGAATTTTGAAAATAAAAAAAAAACTACATTTTGTAAAATTAATAAAATTTGCTTATCTTAATAAATTAATAAAAATAGTAAAATTAATTAAAAATAAAATCCATTAAAATTAATATAAAATTATCTAACAATAAGAATGTTAATATATTTAATATTAAATAATATAAAATAATACATATCTATTAGTTTTGAAATTTGTTTTATTTAATTTAAATCCCATAAATGTTGGTAAATAAAAACATTAATAAAATTATTGTTGGGTTTGGAGTTGGATTGACTCGTCTTTCTTGGAATGTTACAAAAATTGAATTTAAGTGATGAATTTGACAAAGTTGGAGGATAACCAATGGACCACGGTGTTTGTGGACGATTGGGGATGGAGAATGGAGTAGGGTTAGACATGGGCTAGGCTGGACTTAGGTGTTAGGATCTATGATAAGGGCTACAACTTAGGCTTAGAGCTAACCTAACTTGAGTTTTCAAACTTGAAACATAAGCCTTGGGAATGATTGAGCCTATGACTTTTATGTATAAAACGTTATATATATACTATTTTATATTATATATCATATAATATGTTTATAAAACTTATTTTATATATTATATAATACAAATACTATACATAATATGTATTATAGGTGTCATGTTAAAATACCTATATATAAAACATAAAAATATATGCATATTTCTAAAATCTAAATAATAAATACATAAACATGTGTGGATCAAGCTTGAAGTATTGACCCCAACCTAACTTGAAATAAGAGAACCTAGGATGAACAGGATAAGCATGCTCCTAAAGAAAATAAGAGAACCTAGAACTAGGGGAATGTTTTAAAATTTTTTGTTCATCTTGTGCTAGTTTTTTTTCAAACAAAAACTATTATAAATTTATAATTTTATTAATTATAGTTTTAGATTTAATTTATTTATTTTGTTGATTAACTCAAGATTCAAATTATCGTAAACGCCAAGTGTATCAGAAAGGCAATTTTAAGAGATGTATCAGGATACGCCTTGGATACGCATGCATATCAGAGAAAAACTAAGATATGCATAGATATGCCTGGGAACACTATAAATACTTTAATAAATCATAAAAATACATCAACAACACTAAATATAAGACCTCAATGAGATGTAAAAATATTAAGTTAATATATTTTAATGATTTTATGAAGAAATATATTGTAGTTAAATATAATTTAATTAAAAATAATATGCTTAACTATAATTTATAAATTATAATTCTTAAGCTTTAATGTTTTATGGGATGGGAAAAAACTCAACTCTCCTATCCAACCATAATACATGCATTGGCACAAATTCTAAGTGAAAATATAATTAATAATTATTTATTATTTATTATTTATTTTCAAAAATTATAAAAATTTAATAAAAATTATATAATATATTCAAAAAATAGTTATTAAATAAGAAATTTCAATTGCTTAGCGGATATAATAGATCATATCCATAGAATTATAATATACTCAATCATTGTGATCAAATGAGAAAATATAATTAATTAATTATTTATTTTTAGTTCTAAAAATATAAAAATAAAAAAGAAATATTAAAGAAGAAATTTCAATTGGTCTGTGGATACGATAGATCATCCATAAAATTATAATATATTCAATTTGTTGTAATCAAATGATAAAATATAATTAATTATTATTTATTTGTTAACTCTAAAAATATAAAAAAATATATTAAAGAAGAAATTTCAATTTCTCTATGGATATRGTAGATAAATCCATAGATCTATAACACATTTAGTCTTTATAGGCGGAGAAAAAATTACATTTTCAAATTTTTTGTTAATTTATATTTTCCCCAAATGTTTTCATGAAATTTCCATAAATCTACTAATAACACACAAAAAAATTGTGATTTTGAATGTAAAAAATATAGATCAACATAAATTTACACATTCAAGAAAAAATAAATCACAATATATTATAAAAAATTGTGATCATGTAAATATTTGCAATTCTAGCACTCTATGAATGAAGTTTGAAGTTTTAGAGTCATTTGAGGGTGAAAAAATTATTTCAGGGAAAAGAAGCTTGCTTTTCCCYTTTATTTTCTCTTAATTTTTGACTATATCTTTTTCGTCGATACACCCCGATATGCATAAAAAAAAAAAGACAAAACGCCCGGTATCAAAATTTTAAACCTTGGATAAACTTACTATAAATTTTAAATCTTGGATTATATAATTGATCCTACAACAAAAACCATATTATTAAATAATCGATTTGGTTGATAGACCTAACCCATTGACAGCCCTAATGGCAGCTGACTTATGTTTTTGGGCACTGGTATGGGTCTCGAGCCCACGACCACAAGGTTAAGAGCATTGCGCTCTACCGACTGAACTAGAGGGGTAGTTGTTTTTTTAAAGCAAAGTTACTATTATGAAGAAAAAAAATCACATTAATCATACTTGGCCTGATCAACGTTCCAACAAATATTTTATGTACAAATTAAAGTGGAAAATTCAGCAGATACAAAATATAATTCATCTGCGAGAGACTGCAACTACAAAACGGTGTAAAACCTCAAAACTTAATAACTACTTCAGGTGTACGTACCCATGTGCCCCGGCTACATCTTTCACTTTATTGTCGTCTTCCTTTCTCTATATGTTTTACTACTATGCCATCAGTACCAGGAYTTGTCTCTCTTCCATCATTCCATGGCATGTTAGCAGACCGTTGGCCTTTTTTTTCTTTTGATGAATAGAGACCGTTGGCCATTATTGTAACAATTGTACTATGACATGCTGCCCAACCTGATTTTATCAGTATCTATTTCTGSAATTCAGTTCAGTATGACTGGCTGAGCTCTGGTGCTTTCTTTTCTTGAGGGTGCTTGATGGTTTGAATTTGTGGGGCACTGTTATTCAAAATACTTCTAAAAGTTAGCATTAAGCCTTGACGATTGAGCTGGTTGGCGGGAGTAGCACATATGGTAGATCTCTTATTCGGAACCCTCTGCCCCAGAAAGAGGCAAGGCATAGGCCCATGATAGCCATTGCAACAACAGAGCATGCAGAGGGGACTGCTTGGCTGCTCCCAAGGAACTGGGTGGCAAGAAGTCCTGCAAGGGTGGAGCTTTGCATTCCTGTGCATAACGAGATTGTCCTGCAAACTGCTTCTTCTTGCCTGCCATGCCAGTCAGAAGAGTTTCTCAGTTTGGCCATCATCAAGGTATAATTCCGATTAAAAATATGATCATATGAAGGTGACACAATGTGCACTTCCTTTCCTTAAATTTCAACCCATAATTGACAATTTCCAGTTAGGGGCGAAGAAAACAGAATCAGATGTGTACAGTGCATAATAGGAATTTAAGTGAATAGGTTTCATGAACAAGTAAAGAAGGTAACAAGACAGAGGTGAATAGTAGTACTGTAGAATATACATTTGGAACAATGGGTGTTTTGTAAGCAAAGCCTTTAAATGTTCAATTTGTCAGGACATTTACCTTTTTTAAACACAAGATGGAGATGCCCTCATCACCAAAAATTGAAAGCAACAATTAATCTAATATTAAATAATAGTGTGGGCCACTTGAACTTACAAAGAGCAAAGCAAGAAGAGAGGCATGCAAAATATAGGAAAAGTTGCAAGTTGCAATTACTAACAGAGGAACCAAAAGGCAAAGCCGGTCCAGGAAATGGAAATAATAATTGTGAAGAGGAAGCAAAATGATGTGGAAACCCACATTTCTCTGATCTTCTATCCAATCCAAGACTGCAAAGACTAGAGACTATAATGGAATCTTGTTGGTTCTCTACATGTCCAAAGTATAATATGGCATATAGAGTTTGATTTTCAATACCTGCAAAACATCCCCTACTTCCACTTATTAAGCAGGGCCTAAGAGGCTATACAGGATAAATGGTTGAATCGGTACTAATAGACAGAAGAAGTCCATCCTTGCATATGCAAATCATGTCCACTCAAGCCAGGGGAACAAACAAAATAAACCTAGAGGCTCTCTAAACCAGAAACAATTTGACCAGATAATCTGAAATCCCTAACAACCTGCAGTACTGCATTAGACAACCCAATTGTTGCCTGGGACTGAATGTTCTGTTGAATCTAGATGAAATTTCAGTTCACAGATGCAAAGTATTCCTAATTAAAACAGAACAAGATTAGCAATTATATATTTACCTCAAATGTGGGATTTTAGAAACCCAGTATCCCACGGTGAATGCCACAGCATGAAATGTCAATACAGGTAAAATTAATCGGAGACCCTCTGCAGACAAAATCTGGCTCTGATTAATTGCAAGAGGACTTCCAATACAGAGTGAAGTGCAAAGCATGGCAACAAATGGCATCACAGGTCGAATGACACCAACAACTGGTTTGGCATATGTATTAAGCACAAGTCCAAGAGCGACAGGAAGAAGAACAACCTATTAGAAGCAACTGTTAATAACCATTTGAGGAAAAAGAATCAAATACTCCAAATTAATGCACAAATTATCCATGAACTATTCATTACCTGCAATATTGACTTGGACATGGCCACTGCATCAACTGGAACAACAGATCCAATGAGCAGGCCAGTCAAAATTGGTGTAACAACCACAGATGATACTGTAGTTGAGCTGGTCAGCAGAATGCTTAAGGCTACATCCCCTTTGCTCAAAAAACTGGCATAGCTTGACAGCTGGGCACCCGCAACACAGCACATGAGGATGAAACCAGCATAGAACATTGGGGGTGCCCCAAATGCCCTTGCAACCAACACCCCCAACAACGGTTTCAGCACATATTGTGCAATATACCCAACTGATAGTGGTAAAGGTCTGCAACAGATGAAGTGGAGAGGTGGTAGCAGATTCAAAACATCACAATATCAAAGAAAATGAATGCTTAGAGAATGACTGCAGTGATGGAAATTTACCTTCGAAATGCAAGAGCAAAATCATCGATGGACAGTTGAATTCCGATTGATAACATGATTCCACCAAGAGCAGGGGCATATAAATCTTTTGATACCCTGACAAGAGTTTTACAAAAGATTACATAATAAAATGTCTAAATATAAACATGAAAACTACACAAGAATTATACTAAAACAACATTAAAACAGTTATAAATCCCTTTGAAATTAAATCTGATAAATTGGCGCAAGATGAGAAAGTTTATTTCCATGAAACAAATTAAAAATCTCATTGAATAATTCATAATCCCATCCTCCTGATGCACACGCACAAAAATGTACAAATACACATAACCATGTCGAATCCAAGTTCTTGTCATGTATGGAAAAGCCATGGATTACCCTGCCTACAGAGCATAGTTAAATAAAAAACAAGAAAGACTACAAATACTGAAACGAAAAAGATGAAGGGAGATTCACAATGTTCTGCTATATAACTTCTATACTCATATCAAGACAGTGGTACTCATTAATCTACAAGAGCTAAAATTCAAGATGATAATCCAACAAAAATCCTGAAAATATGAAAACTCGAAAAAAAATTAAAAAAAAAAAAAAAACTTGAATTTCCAATCTAATTGTACTCAAAGAGAAAAAAATAAACAGAAATTCCACTAGAGAAACTGCAAGTAGTATATAGATCGTTTTTCTTCTGCTAAATCTCTATGTATAAAACCTCAGAAAATCGCATCAATGAAGAAAAACCTAACAAAAAAATAATTAAAAAATGAAGATTGTAGGAAACACTAAGCAACAATCTAAAATTCAGTATTTGTAAATGCTCAAAGTAGAAATTCAGCTCCAATAAACAATAAATAGGAAGGGGAAAAAAAGAAACGAATTCTCACCAAGAAAAAGTTGCAGGCTGAACAAGAGCAGCAACAGCGGTCGCAGCGACAACAAAGGGAAGCATTGCTGACAAAGCCTGAGAAGAATCGTTCTTCGCGTGCTCTCTAGGGTTTGTCCCGAGCGACAACACAGAAGCATGCCCTTCTCTTCTCTGCGCTCCCACTCTTCCTACATACGGAGACGTCGAGCAAGCAAATGACGACGACGACCCGCCATTAAAGCTCCGCCCCACCTTCAGACGCCAAGCACAATAACCGCTCTCCCTTCTGATCGAATACGGAATCGAATTGAAACCCAACTTTGAATTCAACTTCGAGGAGTGCAACTCTTTCAGAAAACTACTGGGTTTGGCGGTTGGCCTGGAGAAAGAAACACAAGGACTGGTAACTGCCAAGTCCGCCATGGCAGTTGACAGAAGTAGTAGAAGATTCAGTTAAAAGCAGTTAGGGTTCCGAGGACGTGAAGCAGGCATCATTTCGCTGGCGAGGTCTGTTTTGTTCCGACGAGGGAGGTTTTACGAGGGAAAGGAAACAGAAATTATAACGAGAGGCTGTGCGAAGGGAGGAAGAGATGATGAAGGCGACAATGAGCGAATTTGACTTGTTTGATTAGTTTTTGATAAAAGAGTCAGGGTCAGGGAGGGACGGGTCATTTGGAGATTAATTAGGTGTACTTAGTTCTATTTAATTAAACTACGTTAACTGACTCCACCGGTCATCAAGGACCACCTTTTGTAATGTGAACAAGGTAATGGAGTGGACAGAGTGAAGGCTCGAACGCGTAAAAGTTGACACTTGTGTTGTCTAAAACGTGAAACCAAGGGACCCACATGCCATACGTTCAAAGATTTATTCCCGTATATCTTATTTGATGCTCGCATCGTTCTCAGCCCTTTTCAGCCATACATAAGGAACATTTCCATGTATCTTTAGATTCTCGATGTAAGGCCGAAAGGGACTGTGATAACTTTGTAAACATCTAAGTGCAGATGGGAAATATCTTGGGTACAAATTAATGAGGATATGTTACCAATGTGAGTTTGATCTCTTGAAAGTTAAAAACTTTACACCCATGGCATGGCATGGCATCACACGCAATGGCCTTGTGGTGTGTTATGTTTAGACTTGTTCATGSGCYGGGTCGGGTTCGGGTCAKACTTTCACTCTGTGTTAATAGATTTTTTTAAGGCCCGAGTCTAAGTTCGGTCTGATCATTGGGTCTACAACTTAGGCTCGAGCCTGGCCCTCATAAAAAGCCTGAAATCCGAGTTTGGGCCCAAGACCAAAGTATATAATTCATGCCGCTGTTGAAGTGGCTGAATAGAGAGAGAGAAATTATAAAAATAAAAATAAAAAATGTATATATTAAATTATTAACATATATATTATAATAAATATTATATATTTTATATTATATAAATGAGTCAGGCCAGGTTTTTTTGACAAATCCCAAGCCTGGCCCGACACACAATCGATGGTGTTTTGAGTCCACATGCCTAATTACATGTCCAAGCCCGACCGGGGTGTAGGCCGGGCCGTTGGGCTACCCCGCCCATGAACAGGTCTAGTTATGTTGTAAGGGATGCATACCTGATTGCATAATGTGCCATGCCTATGTAGCGTTTCATGGTGTAGATATACACATCCTACTACACAATGTGAGGCAAACCTTCAAAGTTCAAATTTCAAATTGATCTTATCGTAATCTAAAAAATTATCCTAAATTAGAGCTTGGATCTGCTACCCACAAGACCTGACAAGTGAGCATTGATAATATCTTCCTTGTCATTCATGGGGAGATGTTCCCGATACATGGTTGTGGTGCTCTATGGGTATGGATGTGGGTACAACTTGTGGTAGCATATTCCAAGTCCCTAAATTAATCTACATTGATTCCTTTTAGTTGCACTTGTTTCCCGTGCAAAAACAAATGGATACTATTTAAATATTGGGTAAAAGACTTATGCATACCCTTTATTTTCATGAATYGACTTAAACTTACMCTATGTTTTTTAAAAAGGCTTGAATATATACCTTGTGGACTAATCCCATATGACTTAAACATAYTCTTCATTGGAACTGAACCAAACCAACCCATGCTCACCCCTAGTTGCATTCATTCTCCCACATAAATTTAACCATAAACAAACATCTCTCTTTAACTGTTTAAATTATTTAATCCAAATAAAAGAAAATCCACAAAAAAAAACTCCAAAGTTGCCCTTTTTTTAATAATGAAAACTTTAAAGGGTAAAAACGATCAATTGTTTAAGTTACTTGATAAACACTTTTAATGAAAGGACACGATTAAGGCTGCATTTGGCATTCCTTATTTTAAGAATTTATCTCATTTTTGTAATTAAAAACTCAAAATGTTCATAAGAGTATTTTAACCGGAAAAAGGAGATAAGTCCTTAAAATAACGAATGTCAAATGCAACATAAATGACTTATAAAAGAATAACAGGGCCTCCGTGTAATGGTAATATTTCAAGCTATCAAGACTGAGAATGTGGGTTTGAGCTTTGTATTGTTTTAGAATGGCAACCTTTACACATACATAAAAAAAAAAAGGAAAAAAAAAAAATTAAATCCATATCCAATCCATCCCTCCAATACGCCATGTAGCTGGGACCCACATTGGGTAATAGCCTTTTTAGCGTGGTTCTGTTTTATAACTGAGAATACAGAGCATGAGCATGGAGAAAAATTCAAACCAATTTTGCCTATACGATTTATTTTCTTGAGAAATAGTCTATTATCAAAAACTTTCGCTTCCTTTGAATATTAGAAATGGCAAAGTTTGGCAAATCATCAACAAATAAGATAACTAGAATAATAGTTAACAGAGACTGTTTGTATTTTCCAAATATTCAGATAAATGCCCATAAAAAAGAAAAACTAAATACTTGAATCTTTTGGGAAAAGGTCTTGCTTACCTAAGGTCGCTGCGGATGACTGCTGTTAAGAAACTTGGGCGAGAAGCAAGGACTTCTGCCATAGCTGGAGAAGATGAAACTGACATGAACTGGGTTAGAGAGAGAGAGAGAAGGGTTTGGGGTGAAGGAACAGAGAGGGGGAGGGGAGAGAGAATGCGTTAGAGTCCTTTTAAAGTTGAGTTTTGTCTTAATTTCCCCCCTTTTTTCTTATTTTAGTTTTAGTTAATTTAGATAATAAGTGGAGATGTCTCCGTTCAATTCAGTTTACATGGGTTGAATAAGTGAATGTATGAAGCATGTGAGTGGACAGGTGCTCAATGGATAAGATGCCATAAGGGAGTGATAGATTTAGTTTCCTAATAAAACTGAAACTAAATTAGTTGTGGATGAGTTTGAATAGCCTTTGTTCGATCTGTTTTGTTTTCTCAAAAATTCAGAACAACCAACAGTGAAAGACAACTTAGAGGAGTTGTGAGTGGATAAATCCATTTTGCGTATATTTGGAGTTATTATTATTATTATTATTTTATTTTTGATAAGTTTGTTAGGAGAGCTTGTGCATGCAAAGTCAGGACTAACAGAAAAAAGAGCAATAGCCGATAAGAGAGAAAATTCAGGCGGAAAAACAGTTTTGGGGAGAGAAAAATAGTACAAGAGACTATTTTGAGGAAAGAAAAAGTATAAGACGTAGGAAAGAGATTATGAGTTAAGTGTTAAAGAAGGAATAAAACTAAGAGAATACAAAAAAAGAAAAACAGGAAAGAAAGCACATGTCTAATCTCACACTAGYTCAAATCAGCCTCCCACAATATCTCATAGCACATCTCCGCTGTGTATTGAAAATACCTCCCGATGTTAATACCAGAAATGATGATATCATTATCGGGAGATGTGGAACGTTGTGGGTGGCAATCTTGTGGGGGGCTGATTTGATCTCATCTCACACACAAATCTAATTTTATAATTCAAAAGAATATAGAAAATCATAATAAGACACTTGCTATTCATCTATTACTATATTCTAAACTAGGAATGACCCCAGTACTAAGTACCAAGACATAATCTGAACTATTTCGATTTTTTTTAAATCCTCTATATTAGAATTTTAGGTTAGTTTTTTTATTTCACTTGAGATTCATAACTTATGCTCATATGATAAAATTGATTTTGGTTTCTTATTTATTGTAGAAAATTAAATCAGGTTTAATTTGCAATTAACAACCTATTTTATTTTATCTAAAAAATAGGACCAACATGATATAAAGTCTTTACAATGGATCTTTTTTTTTTTAAGTTAGCCCCATATCTATTGTTTTTATACATTTATTAATTATTTAATATTTTTTCATTTAATTAATCATTTTTCTTTTATCAATTTATTAATTTTTAATCCATTTATGTAATATTTATTCATGTTTTATTATTTAATGATTTCATCAATGTAATATTTATCCATTTATGTAATATTTATGGTAAAAGACTTAAATATACCCAGGGTTTTAAAATATACTCGGGGTTTTAGAAATTGACTTAAACATACCCTAGGGTTTTAAAATGGACTTAAATATACCTTATGTGCTAACCCTAGTAGACTTAAACATACCCTCCCTTGTGAAACATTTCTGTTTGGGTTATGGTTGATTTGGCCCTGGGTATCACGTGTTACCTCCACGACCACCTTATCACTTCGGCCACGTCGGCACCACATCATTGGATAAGCACGACCAAGATAGAAGAGCATCGTACGGATAAGGAGGACAAATCTATCGGGGATTAGGTCTTATCTCGAAGACCTCGACGGACAACCTCATCTCAACAACCCAAAAGCCTCATCCGAATCAGACACGGGTCTTTGGCTATAAGTAGGTAATCTCCATTCAAGGTAAGGGACTTTTGACTCTCTAGCACCCGTACTATCATTCTACTCGGACCAGCATTACTCTCAACTGCTCGCCTTGATCACCCACCATTCTCGACTAACTTGAGCGTCGGAGTATCTACCCATGGAATAAATCATCGGGCTTCTGACTATTTTCTTGGTTTCAAATCTTAGAGCGCAGCTTCGTCTTTCCACCTTGGCCTCGTCCAGTTGACAAATTATCTAACTGCGACTTCAATTCAGAACACCTCGGATCGAACAACATCAGATTTCATTAACTTTAAATGATTGTTTAATATTTTAAAAACCCCATCTTACCCTTTAAAAAACTTTAGACGTAGTAGCATCTCTTGTCAATTGCCATGAGAACCATTTCATACCTCCCCATGGAAGGTCTTTTAAAGTAATTGCAGCAATCCAGTCCCATAAGATAAACCATTCACATCTCGCCAATCTTTTGTACAACATTGTAAAGTAACGCACTCCCATGAGATAACCGTTTCATATCTCCAATTTTTGTTGTTGTATCTAAAACCCAGAAACTCTGGTTATGGGATTCTGTAGATGCTCTTGGTATATTAATGACTAAACCCATTACAAACCCACTAGTATAATGCCACCAAGCGGCTTCTAAGACAATGCACTGAATCGTTTGACTTGGTCAATGCTTCATGTACAATAAAGTAGAATGTCGAAGCAATTGAAATCATCTTAATAGAACAACAATTGATTTAATTAATTACTTGATTCGTATGCTCTCTAAT